TTAGGTGCAAGAAATTTGTTGCAAAAGCTTAAGTCACTGCTGTTACGTTAAAAACACACAATTAAAAACAGCCAGCAAACATTTACATCCATAGTAAAGTGTTACATTGTGATTTTAAAGTAATAATAATGATGCATGGTAATGTAAACGTCTGCTTCTCACATCCTTCATTTAAATGATTTTAAACATGCACTGTGGCTCTGTGCTGTGATGTTGCGTTCAAGTGTCCCCACAGAATGAATTCAGCTCATCCTTCAATGCAGAGTGCAGCACACAGATTCACACAAGTCACACATCGGCCCAACTTAACACAAATAAACTCACTTTCTTCCTCTTTTTGGTTAAATTCATCAAGCCAATGTCAGTTGTTGTTGTTGTTAAAAATTATATATAAATATATGCGTGTATATATATATATATATATTTTTTTTTTTACAAAACCCACGCAAATTAGCTTCAAAACAAACCTCAGCTGCGTTTTTTCCTCGTGCGCTCGAGCTGAACACATTCACATTTTTCTTGAGAGCTCGCAATTAAAATTCTTGCACATCTATTTTTAAGATAAGACACACTACTCACTCGGTCACAGATCGGGGAGAAAATGATGGAACCGGGCCCGAACATCCACCCACCGACGAAGGTGTTTTCATTGCAGCAGCGGCTCCGGTAACCGGATCGTGTGGTCGACGAGCTGCGAACAAGCAGGTTGCTAGGCAACAGTTCGGAGCGGCGGCAACGGTGGCCAATGAAAACGCGTCAAACGCCCGCTCGTTGGAACGGCCCCTTCGTGTGGACCAATCGGGGGGCGGAACGGCAGCAACGAGGGAAGGTGAAGAGGGGGGAGGTGGGGCGGGGGCAGTGTTGCGGTGTCTCGTGTGAGGTGGGACATTATTGTTCTAATTTCTCAATTACATAATCCACAACATCACACCCGACTTGAGTACGATAACATGAACCATGGAGTATACTTCACTATTTTATTATTTAAAAAAAACACTTTTTGAAGCCACCCAATTCATAAATACATAAAAGAAAAAAATATATATATATATTATTTGCCTGGCTCAGGGGCAGCATGCTCACTGACCTCGTGGCTGAGAGAAGTCAATTTATAAAGGCTGCATGTAGTGGTAACAGCCCACAGACTACATTACATTACATTACATGTCATTTAGCTGACGCTTTTATCCAAAGCCACTTACAATAAGTGCATTCAACCATAGAGACACATCGTTGTAAATAGGACGGCCTATCCAAAGCAGACCCATGGTTAAAAGGGACATCAGGGGCCACTTCATTTTGTTTTCTCCAATTAAAGGGGACCCCAAGGGCCACTCCATCTCGTTTTCGTCAGTTAAAGGGGACATCAGGGGCCACTTCATCTCGTTTTCTTCTGTTAAAGGGGACATCAGGGGCCACTGCATTTGGTTTTCTCCAGTCAAAGGGAACATCAGGGGCCACTTTATCTCGTTTTCTACAGTTAAAGGGGACATCAGGAGTCACTCAATCTCGTTTTCGTCAGTTAAAGTGGACATCAGGGGCCACTTCATCTCGTTTTCTTCTGTTAAAGGGGACATCAGGGGCCACTTCATCTCGTTTTCTTCTGTTAAAGGGGACATCAGGGGCCACTGCATTTGGTTTTCTCCAGTCAAAGGGAACATCAGGGGCCACTTCATCTCGTTTCCTTCAGTTAAAGGGGACATCAGGGGCCACTTCATCTTGTTTGCTTCAGTTAAAGGGGACATCAGGAGTCACTCAATCTCGTTTTCTTCAGTTAAAGTGGACATCAGGAGTCACTCCATCTCGTTTTCGTCAGTTAAAGAGACATCAGGGGCCACTTCATCTCGTTTTCTTCTGTTAAAGGGGACATCAGGGGCCACTGCATTTGGTTTTCTCCAGTCAAAGGGAACATCAGGGGCCACTTTATCTCGTTTTCTCCAGTTAAAGGGGACATCAGGGGCCACTTCATCTCGTTTTCTTCAGTTAAAGTGGACATCAGGAGTCACTCCATCTCGTTTTCGTCAGTTAAAGGGGACATCAGGGGCCACTTCATCTCGTTTTCTTCAGTTAAAGGGGACATCAGGAGTCACTCAATCTCGTTTTCGTCAGTTAAAGTGGACATCAGGGGCCACTTCATCTCGTTTTCTTTAGTTAAAATGGACATCAGGAGTCACTCCATCTCGTTTTCGTCAGTTAAAGGGGACATCAGGGGCCACTTCATCTCGTTTTCTTCAGTTAAAGGGGACATCAGGGGCCACTTCATCTCGTTTTCTTCAGTTAAAGGGGACATCAGGGGCCACTTCATCTCGTTTTCTTCAGTTAAAGGGGACATCAGGGGCCACTTCATCTCGTTTTCCTCAGTTATAGGGGACATCAGGGGCCACTTCATCTCGTTTTCCTCAGTTATAGGGGACATCAGGGGCCACTTCATCTCGTTTTCCTCAGTTAAAGGGGACATCAGGGGCCACTTCATCTCGTTTTCTTCAGTTATAGGGGACATCAGGGGCCACTTCATCTCGTTTTCTCCAATTCAAGGGGCCACATGGGGGCACTTCATCTTGTTTTCTCCAATTCAAGGGGACCACATAGGCCACTTTATCCCATTTGACGTTTTTCTCTCTCTTTCAGATGAAATATAATACTAAACAGTATAAAAGGTTTTCTGTTACTTTGTTCGCTCTTTGTTTTTTATCTACTGTATCTCATTTAAATGTCAAGAAGGCTTTGATTATTCAGTAGTTTTTGGTGAATAGAAAAGTCAGCATTATATAATTTCAGAGCAGAAATAAAAAAAAACTGAGTGTTTTTATCAAATATGTCAACGTCATTCAAACCAAATATGAGCTGTGATATTAAAAACACTGCTTTTTCCATCGTTGTAACACATCACATGAATCCATGCTGCCACCTACAGGATCTGAGTCGACATGCACACTAATCAGCACTAAAGTTTATTTGCTGTAATTCTCTTGATCGATTACATAGAGGCTCGTGTTTTGCTTCGTGTTTTGCTTCGTGTAACACTGCGCTGTTCACCAGTGACAATATGAAAAACGACATAATTGTTATTTGATTGGAGAGTTAATTAAAAAAACCCCAGTATTGCCATTTTTATATTTCTTGTGGGTAATCTATTGGTTTGGAATAGATTATTGATATGTGAATATGCATCTGCTCCTTCTCTAAAAAGTGCACAACTCAGAAGGGACACAAACTGATTACTAAGTTGTTTATGCTGAGTATTTGTAATTGTCAGATTACCTAATGCCTAAATATTCTAATCAATAGACCATCTCGGATGAACATAAAAGCTTTAACATTTCCTTTTTAAGTGTATTGGAGTTTTGTATTGGAAAAAAAGGTAAAAGTAGCTTCACTTAGAATTGGACTATTTTGTTACATTCCACCTGTCATAAAGTATGTGGAGGAAGTCTGAGTGAAACCGTACAGTCAGTTACATGGATCAGAAAAACAAAAGCTGTCCTCAGTTCCTTTTTTACATGCAGCCTACAGTAATTATTATTATGACTACCTCAGGAGTTTCCACCTGCGCTAAAGGCTGATTGAATATTTTTGGGACGACGGCATTAGAGGTTCTGGTTAGAATAGTCGAGACTTTAGAGGAAATTCGTAGGTGGGGGAAACACAAGTTTTCAGACCTTATGAAGCGGAGATTCTGAGTCACTTTGTGCTATTTCAAGAATATGATGACGTAAGAGAGGGAAAAAACCTTTTGACTGTTTTGATTTAGATTTGTAATTTTTTTCAATTAGTATAATTTCATTGATAGAATTTAATATTCACATAATATATTTTCTATGATTGTATTTAATAATTGAAATATGTTATTATATGTGATCACATTTAATAAACATCTGTTTAAATCACTTTGTTAAATCATTAAATTATATCCTTTCCTTCACAATCATTTTCAAAATAGCAGCCTTTTATCTTTGTAGATCAATAAAATAATAAATATTTATATAAATACATACATGTAATGTGTGTATGTATATATATATAATGAAGAGTAATAAAACTGGTTTACAATACAACATTGTTTACAATATATATATATATATATATATATATATATATATATATATATATATAGTAAACTATGTATTACATTGTCTACAATATGTATATTTATTATAAACAATGTATAAACAATATATATATAAGGAAGAGTAATAAAACTGGTTTACAATACAACATTGTTTACAATATATATATAGGGTAAACTATATATTACATTGTTGACAATATGTATATTTATTGTAAACAATGTATAAACAATATATATATATATATATATATATATATATATATATATATATATATATTATAAACAATATTGTATTGTAAACCAATTTTCTTACTCTTCCTTTGGAAATTCGAAAAACAATATTCATCCTCCCAATAAGATAAATAAACAGTCATAAAACTATTCTAATGGGTGGCAAAAATCCACCAAAAAAATGTCATTGTCTGAGTTGGTAAATTAATTTAAACGTAAGATTTCTTCAAACAGTTTGGAAATTATTGACTCCTGCATCACATGCAGGAGTCAATAATTTCATTGGCACAATTATTGATCAAACACCTCACCATAACAAATACATATCTCAACGGGCTGCTGAAGACCAGCGCTACACTGATACTCATATTTATTTACTATTATTATTGACTGTAGAATGTGTTTCTAATTTAATTGTATTCATTTTTAGAAGGAATGTTCTTAACGTGTGTCGTATCACTTTTTAGCAGCAGTAATCATAAAGAAATTTCAAAGAATAAAAAACAGAAGATGACTAACTCCTAATATTTTCCGGAAGCGTAAACAACGGGCCGAGTGGAGCGGACGCTGATTGGTTAGAAACGAATCAACCTTTTCGCGGTTGGCTGTAAGCGTGAGTATCGCGACACGTGATTGGCCTACCGCTACGGACGCTGAGCGCGATGTCGCAGTTTCGCTTACGTCACTGCTCGTCATGCAAATATACCATCTTTGGCCCAAATGCGCGTAAGCGTACACTACGTTGGTGGAAAAAGATGGCAGCTGACGCGTAGAAAAGAAGTGTGTGGATCTTCGCTCGAAAAAACAAAAACAAAAAAGAAACAGACGGAGCGCGTAAGTTGTTTTTTTTTCGTTCTTCGAACCTAAACGATGAAGAGTTTGGGGAGAGTTTGTGAGCTGAAGCTACGCGGATCGCACTACATGTAATTGTGCCTGGTAATATGGAGGATAACTGCTGTTAGAGGGTTAACGCTAAGGTTAGCCAAACCTAGTTATTAGCCGGCCCCCGGTAGCTAGCGAACCGAGCAGTCCCAGTTGTCAACATTGGGCCCAGGCTATCACCTGGAACCCTACAACGCTGCTGGTACACATCCGAAAGAAAATGCGCAGTTTGTACTTATATAATACCTGTTCTTTTGTGTTTTTGTTACACGGAGTACAGTTCGATTACGAAGTACAGTAGCGTTCTTGTGCCTTTCTCGGTGTTTTGCCCAGTTGCCATTTGCATGCTGGTGAGGTGAACAAACCGGGTTTAACGTGAGCTAAAAGGCATCATCTTATTTAAGTTACAATGTCAGATAGTGAGGTAACAACGCGATCCTTACGTGTCGACGGTATGCTAATTAGTTAGTTGGCGTCATTATAACAGTCTCTCATTTGACGGTACCGTTAATGACGTCACGTCACGTCACATCTCCGCGGTTCCCTTCAGTGTTGCGGTCGGTCATTTGACTTTTGAGGTCACACATTTCCTGCTTTTCCTCATTTCTTTTACCCAGAGATGTGACGTCACGACTGCTTCTATATACTTATTACCCAGTTTCACGGTAGAAATACTGCGATACAAGTAAAGAAAAGTCCTTTGTCTTTTTACTCAGTCAGTACAAAAGTATATTGAGAATGTGCTTTAACCAAAGGTTAAAATACTTGATTATTGATTGATAATTGCTGGATGAAACTCTCTTTAAAGTTAGCGGACGCTTCATCGCAGGTTACATATCAGTATTTCCTTGTACTTTTCCTACAATGATTTAAATGAAGTGTTGTTGAACCAGAACAGAATAAACCTGTGACTCACTTCCTGCCTCTGTGGTAAAGTCCAGGCCTGGAAAACCACATTTAGTCCTTAGAAGTTATTAAGTTAGTTAGTTTTTATTTTGAAAATGTCAGCATGTTTATACACGAGGAGCAGATGTGCTTTGTTTGTTTGTTTGTTTGTCGATGATGACATGACCACAGCTGTACACCGGTTTGAAGAAAACACAGTATAACTACGTGGTATCAACTTTTCTCTTTAAAACATTAATATCGTGTCGCATTTTCAATCCACTTCACATTTGTTGGTGTAAAAGAGAACGTTGTTTTTAACGTTCTCAACTTATTTTTACTCCAATATGAACCGATATTTGATGTAATTGATTTATTTCTTGTTTAAAGCACTTTGAGGTGTATTTTATGTTGTCAATGCTGTGCAGCTGATTGTCTGTATTGGGTTCTGTATAATGTTATAGTTTTGTACAATGAGTGCAAGTAAAAGAACAAGAACCAGAATGTAACAGAAGCTTTGAAAGCTTCCTGACCTTATTATTATTTTACAGAACAAAGGTCTTTTCTGGCCAAGCCGCATTAACCTGTATGAGAGCGCTGCATTTTATTTTTCATATTTTCACCTTTTATATTTGGTTTATAGAAAACAACCAGCCATCGGTTGCGTCTTATCAGCCCCCATAGAGGCGCCGCCATCGGTCGCCATCGCAGAAGCGTCGCCATTGGTCGTCAGTCACCATGGGAAAAACGCCGCTAAAAGGTAAGCGACCACGTTCCATTTTGCCCGATAAAAGGCTGTTAATGACCATAAAAGCTCATTATTATTGGGAAGGGGGAGTTCAATAAAAGCATTTGAAGCTCTACTTTTCTTTCATTGTTAAGATTTATGAAGGCAAACTTTTTTTTATGCATGTATGCATTAAATGTGTATAAATACATATATATATATATATGTATGTGTTTTAAATCTTTGTAGATCAGAAAGACGGCAAAAAAGAGAAACCAGGAAGAATGGTTCCACTAACCGGTGCGACTCCTGCGACAGCTAAAGGTGAAACTTATTATTTTATACCTTGTGATGGTGTTTGCCTCCATGTGTCGTTTCTACTTTTCCTCAGAAAGCACAAGACGAGCCGCGTAAAGTGATGTTAGCAGCGGTCATTACACACGGTTCTATTACTGTGTTCTATTAAAGCGCTTTGGTTTACTCCTCATACCACGAGGTCAGAGGTCAGAAAGAGGCTCTCCACAATTGACCTCTTTCAGGTTACAGGTGCTGACGTTGTGACATTCTGCTCAAGTCTTTGATGGATTTTATTTCATTTACAAGTAAAATCCCCCCCCAAAAAAAAGTTCATATTGAGACTTTTCGTTCCGTCATTTTAGTTTCTGATACGATTTATTGTTCGGACCTCAGCACCTCTGAAAATTAGGTTTCTATAAAAAGGGAAAAGTAAAGAAAATAGTAGAATAATTTAGTAGTTTGAATTTTAGGAGTAATTTCAAATTTTGCCTTTCTGATTATTATTTAGACGCTTTCAGCTGGGAAGAATATCTGAAAGAGACGTCTTCCTCACCCGCTCCAGCCGGCTGCTTTCGTCAGGTATTTCTAATCGCTTCTATCTAATAAGTATTGATTTATTGTGCGGTTCGATCGGCGCTCAGTGTCCCTCACATCCGTCCTCAGGCCCGAGTCCCGCCCTCCAACGACTTCAAGGTGGGAATGAAGCTCGAGGCCCACGACCCGCGCAATTCTACCTCCGTCTGTATCGCCACGGTGATGGGCCTGACGGGGGTCCGCCTGCGCCTCCGCCTGGACGGCAGCGACAACAGCAACGACTTCTGGAGGCTCGTGGACTCCTCGGACATCCAGCCCATCGGCAGCTGTGAGAAGAACGGCGACATGCTGCAGCCGCCGCTGGGTGAGACACCCGTCAGCACATCGCCAATTATGTCAAGAGATCGGAAGTTATGAAACATAAGCAACAAAGAGGAAGTTAAACGGCTCATAATTCATCATCTTTAATCTCCTTCAAACAACTGTGATTATTCAAGTTTCTCACCAACTCTGCATTTTACGAGATGACATTGAACACATCATGATAACATCATTTAATTGTCCGAACAGGGACGGAACACGTTGTAGTTTATCCGAGCGTTAGCAGATCTGCTAACGTTAACGGCGGGGCTTGAGTATAACGACCACAAACACATGGCCCGTTGATACGTCTGGGTTTTCACACTCTGAATGAGTTGCTCTCACTTATGTTTCCTGTATCCCGACCCCCCCCCCTCCTCCCCCCGTCAGGGTTCCGCATGAACGCCTCCTCGTGGCCGATGTTTCTGCTGAGGACCTTAAACGGCGCCGAGATGGCTCCGGCGATCGCCTTCAAAAAGGTTTGTGCCGCTTCAAAAACAAAGCGCCCAAACGCCGCGTTCGTTGATTAATTCGCATTGATTTCATCGTCAGGAGCCTCCGAGGCCCCCGCAGAACAACTTCAGGTCGGGCATGAAGCTGGAGGCCGTGGACAAGAAGAACCCGTACCTCATCTGCCCCGCCACCATTGGGGAGGTGAAGGGCGACGAGGTCTTCGTCATGTTCGACGGGTGGCGCGGCGCCTTCGACTACTGGTGCAAGTACGACTCGCGGGACATCTTCCCCGTGGGCTGGTGCTCGCTCACCAAGCACAGCCTCCAGTCGCCGGGCAACAGCGGTGAGAAGAAATAATAATAAAAAAAAGAATTTCTTAAAATGAGATCTCAAAAATCTATTTAGCATCATTGTGAAAAACATCTTCAAACCACTGCATTTATTCAACATTATATTTTACATGATTATGTTTGAACGTATATAAATAAAATTTCATATAATATAAATATATATATATATATATATATATATATATATATATATATATATAGCCTGAACGCTGTTAGCAGGGCTGCTAATGTTGCTAGCTCCCCTCCTGTTAATCTGAACACTGATTGGTTGTTCTCATTGTGACATCAGAGACTAGAATCATGAATGATGTCATGATGACATATTTATTGACTATTGTCCCGTAAAGCTGCGACTCTTTTCACACCTTTACTGACGATCTCCGTCAGTACTACTTTTAGGTGTAGAATAAGTTTTTCTACCGGAGCTTCTCGTCTTTTTTTTTTTAACCCCGACTCCCCCCACGCCGACAGTGACTCTTCCAAAAGCGGCGCCGACCTTCCTGGCGTCCCCCTCCAAGCCGAGCAGGCGCTCCATGCAGTCCCCCTACCGGCTCCCCACCCCCCTGCCCGCTCTGCCCGTCAGGAAAGGGGTCAGAGGTCGGCGGCCCAAGAGCGAGACGCTCGCTCTGCTCAAAGCCGTGGCGGAGGCCGCCGCCGCCGCCGCGCAGAACGGAACGGCGCCCGAGAGCCCGCTGCTGGTTCCCCGGGTGCACAAGAAGAGGGGGCCGAAGCCCGGGAGCAAGGTGAGACCCCGCCCCCCCCCACCGCCTCGTCCCCCACCGCCTCGTCCCCGCAGCGCAAACCAACATGTGTTTTGTTTTTTTCAGAGGAAGTCCAAGATCCTCCAAAACCCGGGGCCGCTGCCGAGCATGCATGTTCCCGCGGAGAGCGCCGGCAGCCCGAGCGGCGTTGTGTCGACGGGTAAACGCCGCTCCCTCCCGCCATCGGCTGTGAATTAACACAAGACAACGAGCAGTGTCTCATCGCCGTGCGCTTCCTGTCTTCTCCCAGTGTGTGTGTACGTCAACAAGCAGGGGAACTGCGGCCCCCACCTGGACAGGAAGCAGATGCAGCATCTCCCGGACCACTTCGGGCCGGGCCCGGTGAACGCCGTGCTGCAGCAGGTGGTGCAGTGCTGCATAGACTGTGCGTACCAGCCCAAGGTCCTGCTCGGCGCCCTGCAGACCCACGCAGGGGGGGGGGAGGTGGTCAGAGGTAGGATCCGACTCTCCTCGTGGAAGCATCTTACCTTTTTAGAATAATGGCTTCATTCAAACACATGTGACCCCCCTCCACACACACACAGTGAGAACCGACGGCGGCGTCCGCGTGGTCAAGCTGCCGGCGGCCTCCAGCCCCTCCTTCGTGCTGCGCTTCCTGGAGACGATGTGTCGCCACCTGCAGTGCGACAACCTGTTCAGCAGCCAGCCGTTCAGCCACCACGCCGCCTACGACGGGACCAAGTCAGGTGACGTCTCATCTCACAGGGGAAATGTTGGGGGGCGGCGAGAGCCTAGCTGACCGCCCTCGTTCCTTTGTGCGTTTCAGTGAAAGAGGAGGCGCTGGACGCTCCGTCTCTGGCTCGGGGGGGCAAGCGGAGCCTCCTCGGGGTCTCGCCGCCGTACGCCGCCCCCCTGTCGCCGAAACACCTGCGTCCTGAGGCGCATCCCTCAGAAGGTACAATCAGCCAAACTGCTTCCTCTCAACATTCTATTCATGAAAGTGTGGTGGTGGTGATGATGCTTTAGGGCGGGGCTACACGTTGATTGACAGGTTGCATATGGCGTCACTTCCTGTTACCGGGTTGTGTTCTGACGCTCAGCGTTTGTCTCCCCAGCGGAGACCCTCTCCCACAAAGAGAACGGCCTCACGAAGGAGCAGCGCTACATGTGCTCGGCCTCCAACTCCGCCACCCCTCGGCCCCCGGCGGTGCGCGGCTCCTTGGAGTACCGCCCCCACACGCCGGGCGCCCACTACCGCCACGCCAGGGGCGAGGCTGCTGGCCGTCTCTCGGCGAAAAAGGCCGAGCTCGCCCACAAGAGGCCTCTCGGAGGAGTGGAAGGTACGGCGAGAGTCTCCAGGCGTTTATCCCCCCCCCCCCCTCCCCCTCGCTGCCCTGCCCGGCGCTCAGCGCGTTGCGTTGTGCTTTCCCCCGGCAGCAGCCAGCTCCACCACGGGCCCCGAGCCGCCCAGCACCGAGCCGCCCGGCAGAAGCCCCGCCTCCTGGTCCATCGAGGAGGTGATGCAGTTCGTGAGGGACGCCGACCCCGCGACGTTAGCGCCGCACGCCGAGCTGTTCAGGAAACACGTGAGTTGACGCGCACGACGTCCCTGGACGTGTGAACATGTCACGTGATGGCCGATGATAGATGGCGAGCGTTCCCGCGGTCTTCGCTGCCTCTCCAGCGAACCACGAGTTGGTCATCTTTTGATGTCGTTTGTTTCCGCAGGAGATCGACGGCAAAGCTCTGATGCTGCTGCGGAGCGACATGATCATGAAGTACATGGGTCTGAAGCTGGGCCCCGCCCTCAAGCTGTGTCACCACATAGAGCGCCTGAAACACGGCAAACTGTGAGAGCGACCAGGGGAGGGGGGGGGGCGTCCCCCTCCATGTGGTCTCCTCGAGGGATTGAACCCTGGACCCCCAGCGTGGAGGGAAACCCCACAGTGTTTACATCGCTCGGCACAAATCTTCTGATTCCCCAAAGACGGAGAATGTTTCATCTTCTGAAATGTTTTTTTCATGCTCGGCGAATGACGAACAACGACGGGTCGGTTTTACTGAGAAAAGCGAGATCCATCAGCAGCCCCCGCCCCACCCGCCCACCCCCCTCCTTTATTGGCGCATTCCGTTTCTATTATGTCACCGATGGGGGCGCGGTTACACTCGTCTCCTCACTGCTGCCGATCGGACGCCACGACGCGCCCTGTAGGATCGACTCCGAGGGTTAAACATTTCATTTCCTGTTAATTCTTCACATTAAAAGACTGCGTCAGTTCGGGGACGAGGACAGAATCTCGTAAACTCTTCACAACAACTATTGTTTCATCGTCAACTGAGCAGCTAAATACTCGATATTTATAAATATCAGAAAATATCGTCGCACGTTACTTCCCCAAATGTTCCCCAAGATGCTTTAATCAGCCTTCTTTTATCAACAAATGATTAAAATAATTAGATTTTAATTAAATAGTTGACAAATATTTTCAGATATTTTTCACAATAAAGTCTGTTTATTAAACCTCTTTAAAAATGCTACAACAATTGAGTAAATAACATAAAATCTTAAATCAGCGGTTATTTTCCTTTTGTTTAACTCATCCGTTGGTTAATTTCATTAATCGATAACTTTTTGTTCTACTAATGGTGAAAAGTGGTGAACTATTTACATACAAGAAGCAGAAGTCAGAGAAATACATTTAAGTCTTTAATTTAAACGATGACAACTAATTGATTTGTTTTTTTATTGCTAAACTATTTCATGAATTATTCCCCTGCCGCTACGCTAACGAAGCTACGCTAACGAAGCTACGCTAACGAAGAAACAAACACTATGATTTCCCGTCTTATCCTGTCACTCAAAGATTTACCTCTTGAGGAAGCCCCGCCCCCACGACGAGTGTAACCGCGGCCGGAGACATTTTATTCCGACAGGATCCAACTTCACGTTTCCTGCCGCCATCTTCATCCTCACGGTCATCCTCATCTTCATCCTCATGGCCTCATCACGGTTGGAGACGTCCCTCTGGGGCGTCTCGGCTCGTCGTTACAATCACTGTTAGCAACAGACGTGTACAGTTTTTATGGGTTTTAACCATGAATATCAGCGACAGAATGTACATTTTGTAGAAACCTAATATTTTAAAGAAGGAGATCATATACACGAGTTAGAAATGTGAAGAAATGTCTTTTTTAAACCGCATTAAGGTCGTAGTTGGGATCCTCCCGCGAGGAGCTTTACTCTCTGCCTTGCTCTCAGGTCTGCGTCGGCTTTGTTAGTTCAAACTTTTGTAGCAAACTGTTTGTTTAAAAAAAAAAAAAGAAAGAAAAAAAAGAAATACATTTTTAAAGACAGTCAGCAGAATTTTCCGGTTCATCCGCCTGGATCCCTTTGGGTTTTTAAGACTTGTGCCAAATGACTTTGACCTGGAGGATCCTCAGCGCTGTGGATTCATCTCCTGCATCTTCTTCAAAGTGTCACGAGTCCATTTTATGTCGCACCACATAAACAATGACGTTGTGTATTTCCTCTTTTTTATAAACCTCCCAGAAACAAAGTGTTTTCACTGACTGAATTATTCACACGTTTATTGTATCTGAGAGGAACCGATTTTATGGCTATTTTCTATTAAATTCAACACACAATAGAGAGCATAACCGCAAAAGTAAATATGATTTTGTGTATTAAGAGTGTCTGTACATTTTTATCCTCACATTAAATTTCACACCATCGACATACTTCGTTATTAATTTATAATTATTTTGATGGTGGACAAATCTTTTTTCTCCAAGTCAACATTATGTTCGTATTGCATATATATGGAATATTCTTAATTGTTAGGACTTCATCTTGGGCTCAGGGGAACACTAATAACCAATGGATCAACAATCAATGAAAATAAACTAAAGAAATCCTGACGGGCAGATCGTTTTTTTGCAGGATTTTATTGCATTTATTTATTTTCCTCCTCATTTTTAAATGAGTTCCATCCACACAAACACAAACAATTGGAGAACACAAAGAAAGAGACACACAGTCGTCTGGGACTTCAGATCCATAAAAAAAGCACACAAACTACAGAAAGAAAACATTTCTTTTCCATGTAAAAGTGAAAAATGGCTCCAGGTGCCTCCAGTCAGACGTCACATCGTATAAATAACGGTTGTACACCGAATAAATTAGTGAGGAATCTAAGCTCACGTGTATAAATAAAGGAAGCAGGTCGACGTGTTCGGTCCGATCACCCTGTAACGCTCAACTACACTACGACAACGTGCACTCAAACACCTTCTAAAAGACACCAAACACCCAACAGACTAGAAACACTTTGTCTTCACGTTTAATGAGCGAAGTCGACGTCGTTAAAAAGCAGCCGGGGCTCCCGGTGTTTCTCCCACGAGTCCCCTCGCGCGTCCCGCCGATGGACGCCGGACGCCGCCGAGCGTTCGTTGCAGCTGGACCAATCGGAGGAGAGGGGAGGGCCCCGGTGTTGACGGACACTCAGCTCCACCATCAGGTTCCCTGGAGGTCTCCAGTAAAGGAGACGTCTTCACTGTCCCTCAACTGTCCCTCAACGTCTTCAGAGGGCCAGTTATGACGTTTGGATGAGGTCCTCCTCCACAGCCGGGTCAGAGAACCAGAGAACCAGAACTAGGGGCGCAGAGACGTCCTGCCGTGGACGTGTCTCAGAACCCCCTCACTTCCTGGGGAGCGGCGCTGGCAGTCTCTGCTTCTTGATGGGGAGGAAGTGGATCTCCTGCGAGCCCACCTTCTTCGGCTTGACGGCCCGGTTCTTGGGGGGCTTCTTGCCGGCGTGGTGCTGTTCCTCGTGGGGGGACGCCGGCGCTCGATGCTCTCTGGCCGCTGTCTCTGCTTGATGGAAAAGTTCTTGGTGGAGATCTCTGAGATTCTCTTGATCTTCTCGCAGAAGACGGCAGGGATGGCGTCTTCACAGAGACGATGACATTGGCCGCTTGCCGGGCGCCGACTACCTCCAGGGTCTCGGCGCTGCCGCTGTCCACCCCCCCTTGTGGTGCCGGCTGAACTCCAGCGAGCCTAGCCCCCCCAGGAGTTTTGAGTCCAGCTCTGCTCGCAGTGGACGCCCCAGAGACAAGACGGGCCCGCGGCGTCCGGGGCACCTCTTCCCGCGGCGGCCGGCACCGACAGGTCCCGCACGTCCTCCGGCTGCGGACTCGGGTATTCCTGTTTCGGTTCGACCGACCACGCTCTGAGAGACAGGTCCAGGGCCTGTCCCTCGTCCTCGCTCGCAGAGGACGAGGGACAGGCGTTTGACGGGACACACCTGCGCGGTGGCGGAGGAGAATCGCTCGGCGACGTCTGGGTGCTTTTACTCGCAGTGCAAACGGGTTTGGGCACGTTCCCTTTGGAGTCCTCGGCCTGCGGGACGGGGACGGGGACGGGCAGTGGGACGGGCAGGGGGACGGGCAGGGGAATGATGACGGGGTAGGGAACCAGGAGCGTGGCGGGGGGCACCAAGGGGGCCAGGGGGGAGACGTAGGGGGCCGCGAGGGGAGGGAGCGGGAAGTAGGCGGAGCCCGCCTGGGAGGGGAGGAGGTCCTCCAGGATGGCGGCGAAAGCCGGATTCTGCAGGAGCGAGAGCAGGTTGGCGTCCTGCGTCTGTCCCGCCGACTTCTGGTCCGCGGCCGGCGGGGGCGAGCTGAACGGGTTCGGCCGCAGGACGGCGCCCTGGAGCTGGGGGCAGCCGGGGGCCTGGGGACCACGGAGGGGCTCATGTGCTGGAGGACCTGCTGGTCCAAGACCAACGGGAGCGACACCGGGCTCTGGCTCGCTATCAGGTACGGCGCCGCCCCCATCGGGCCGAGCTGGGAACCGGCGGCGGCCGCGCCGGCCACCTGCAGGTGGATGGGCAGCATCAGCGGGCCGTCTCCAAGGCACAGCGGCCGCAAAACGGCCGCGGCCATTTTCAGCGCCACGCCCGCCGCAGACTCGGCAGGGGGACTCGCCGGCGTCGGCGCAGGAGGCTCCGCCTCCCCGTTGAGCCGACCTTTGCCGCCGCAGGAAGCGGCGGGAGTGAGTGGGTCGGCTCCCACCTCCACTCTACCGGGTGGGGTTTCTCCTCCCCCCACCTCGGCGGGGACGGACGCGTCGGCACCGCCCTCCATCGCTCAGCTTGAGGAGTCAGTCGGAATGCTCGCCGCGTGCTACTGGCGAGCGAACATCGTTCTCCCAGGCTGCCCTGGAAACACAGGAAGCACAACGTTTAGCGCTCGTAAATATATATATAAATACACAGTATAAATATATAAATACATACATACATATACATTATATTTCTGAAGGTTTTAGAACTTCTGGTATCGCTGATCAATAAAGGCTTTTCGTTTACATACAAGAATAATTAAGAAAAGTTGATTATTTGCTTGATTGAGTAATCAAAAAGAACCGATACAAGTATCAATAAGGCACCGAACTCATGAAAGGCTTCTGCAGAAGAAGAACGATCCTGCAGCGACGTGGTGAGAAACGTCTTTAATCACCTGAGGACGACGAGAGGAGCGAAGTAACCTCGCTATAGTCGATCACTGCTTTACTTAGAATTATTGTCTTCACAACACACGTCCCGCCTGCCTCTTGCTGGCGACCCCCATCCATCTGCAACGACGGAGCGTCCCCCCCCGGGGGCGCCGGGAGACGCCGCGCGTCCGATGTCAGCGGGGTCAATTATTCATGGCGATGGGGAGCGGCGAGGGACAGAGCAGCAGAGGCTTTGTGCGCCGTACCTTCTCGAAGCCAAACACGCCGTTAGACGCACACGTGCCGGTCCAAGTTTCTATTTAAAGTGGGAAACTTGTTTTTTTTTTGTCCCCTCCACGTGGTGTCGGGTCGCCCCACAGAGGGCTCTGCCCCCCAGGCGGGTTTCATATGGTTCTGGAGCATAGATGGGACATTGTAACGTGGCTCTGATGGATTTCACGCACAAGAAGCTTCTGTGCCTTTTCCGCTTCAGGCTTCCGAGTTTGTCTGTCTACTCAAAGTGACATTGCTGACGTGAAGTGTGTGAGGTTCTTCTCCATAGTAACGGCTTTGATCTCCACAAAGACACCAGACTCCATTCACAAAAACAGAGATTCAGCTGCTGCATCAATGGGTTTGTTTGAAAATGTTACATCAGAACCAAAGTCCCACCCAGATGCAGCAGCGGAGCCGCAGGCCTTTGTTCTGAGGTCCAATTACTGTGTTTGTGAAGGGAGTCTGGAGTCTTTGAAGACTACTTTACAAACTTTATCTTTTGTAGTTAATTCACTACACACTCACGAGCCCCCGCCTCCCTCTGCGGCGAGGAAGGACTCCTAAGCTAACGCTATCATGATTAAACGCGCTGGCCCTTTAAGGGCTCAAAGGTGAACGTGTTGCTCCCATAGACATGTATATAAATGCCAGATGTCTTACGGGGGAGTATAGAACATCCGTACGTGGCGGCCATCTTGGGAGGGCGGGCTCGCTCACCCATAACATTGTGTTGTCAGTTGTACATGTAATTTAAATAATAATAACTGGCTACATTTTCAACCGACTTTTAAACGGTTTGGTTTGTTATAAACGTCAGAGATGTAATTATGACACTGCATACTTATGAATAATGTTCTGTTTAATATACCTTTCGTTTGAAAACCCATTGTTATAATTATTTATAAGTATGCAGTATCATAAATACATATCTGTACAGGGTGGGGATTTCAACATGCAGCATTTCTTGATATATATTTGTAAAGGGAAATCCTGTACCTGTATTCTATTTTTTAAAACATAACGTAATTATTCATATTCTGTATGTAAGGTCATAACTACATCTCTGACGTTTATAACAAACCAAACAGTTTCAAAATTGGTTAAAAATTGAGCATGTTATGGTTAATTAAATGTATCACTACCAACGTTATGGGTGAGCGAGCTGACCGTACCAAGATGGCCGCCATGTGGGGACGTTCGACTCCTTTGGCCGCCAACACGGACGAGACATCCAGCCTTTATATACGTCTATGTTGGTTCCCTGAACGAAGCACCCGCAGGTCACGGTGTTATGTCATCTACTCTGATTGGTTGGGAAAGGAGTCAAGAAGCTGATTAGGAAATTAGCATATCCGGACATTTTTTAAACCAGTTTTGGTGCCACAGCCTCACTGGCCTTTCAGGAAGTCTGGGACGAGACACTTCCTGCTTGACAACGCGGTCACAAGGTCGGCCATCACATTAAGCGTCGCCGAACAGTATGAAAGAAGTCTTTCTCCCCCCTCCCACCCCCCCTCCTAGGCTCCGATGGTTCGGCCCGATTGGGCACAAAGTCAGCGGTCAGGGTAAAATAACTTACTATAACTGTTTTTTGTGATGGAATAAAAGCAGCGTTGGTGAACTTCTCTCTGAGCCTTTAGGTCAGGTGATTCCCAGCATGCCCCCCCCCCCCCCTCACTTTGAATCATGTGACAGGGAGTCAGCCAAAGCACATAGAGACCCACATCATCTTTGTTTCTCTTTCCCCAGTCACATTCTCTGCTTTGTCTCGGCGTTCTCCCAGGGGAGGGAGGGTCAAAGAGAAGTCATCAGTAAACACTCCATTTCATGACTCATTATACTGGTTCAGGAACAGTCTCAGCTTAGTCCTGGATCCTCTACGTGAACAAGTCTCCAGCAAAGGTCCTGATCCCCTATAGAACCTCCTTTCAGGAAAACAATCAGAGAGAAAGAATTTCCACAGGTTCTTCTTACCGAATGTCATTGGGGCCACCCAGGTTGACAGAGAACAGTCTACCGCGGACGGACCTCAGATTCTCTCGCAGAGACCAGTTCACCTGCAGAGGGACCCAAATCTCTCCGGCAGAGACCAGTCC